CAAGCAACTCTCTTCAGGGCAGGAAGATGGGGCTGGTGGGGCCTCCAACTCCAAGGCACTACATGAGGCAGAGGATGAGGTGAGTGGACTCATGGCCCCTGCCCCAGGTGCCCGCCTTTGCTCTTGGCGAGAGCTCTTACTGTCTCTCACAGTTTCTGTCGCTGGACAACTTCCCCGAGTCCCGGGCCAGTGTGAATCTGAGGAGTGACCAGGCACCCAGCGTGAGTTGGCTGGGGTGGGGCCAGCGTGCTCCTGGGGCCGTGTTAATCTAGCTGAGTGTGGAGGGCGCTGTTGCACATCTCAGCCCCAACCCCTGGCTGCCCACAGGAGGTGCTGATCATCCCCCTCCTGCCCATGGCCCTGGTGGCCCCCGATGAGGTGGAGAAGAACAACTGCCCCCTGTACAGGTATGTGCCAAGCCCAGCCATGCAGAGGAGGGAGGCCTGCTTGAGAAGGGTCTCTACAGCAGGCATGTTTTGCCAGTACAGCCGTCAGGGTGAGGTCCTGGCCAGCCGGAAAGACTTCAGGATGAACACCTGCACCCCCCACCCAAGAGGGGCCTTCATGTTGGAGCCAGTTGGCCTGTGCCTCATGCCACAGAGTCAGAAGGGTGAGGTTGTGGGTACGGGGGACTTGGTGGGAAGGAATGTGTCAAAGATGTTTTTAGGGGGCTTCTGTCAGGTATCCTCTGCTTATCAGCTTTGGTCGTAGGAGCTGCCTCTCCCTGGGTGCCTGCTTCACAGCGGACATGCTGCCTGGAGCTTGTCCCTCTCTCTCATCTTTTCTGTGGCTTATTTGTTGGTTTTTTTTTTTTTTTTTTGGTACCGGGGATCGAACTCAGGTCCTTGTGCCTTCGAGGCAGGCGAAACCACTGAGCTAAATCCCCAGCCCCTTCTGGGCCTTACTTGCCAGCTGACGAGATCACAGCTGGTCTCAGTTTGGGGCCTGGGTACTGTGGGGCTCTGCCCTCTGCTAGCCCCCTGGAGGGGCTTGCTGGGTACCACGTAGGGACCCTGTCTACTCCCCATCTCCCAGATGCCAGGAGGGCTGAGGAGCAGCCAATGGAAGTCTCTGGGTGCAGCAGTCCTGATCCTGTGGTTGGCTTCTGCCAGGAGGAGCCAGGTGAGAAGGGACCGGCACGCTGAGGAGGGGCGGGGAGGCAGGCTGGGTGGACAGGCCCAGGCGGGCTGCTCTCTGCGTCCCAGCCCACACTGCCTGATCCCTGCTCTTTGGCCCTTGGTGGGAACAGACAGACTTGGGGCTGGCTACTCACTGGGCCTCAGCCACCACCCTCTGACTGCTCTCCTGGGCCTCCTCTGGGCAGAGGTAGATGGCATCATGGGAAGAGGAATGTCTGCTAAGGAATAAGGTGACTGCCAGTGTGACAGTGTTAGGCCCTCCTTTGGTCTCCATATACTAGCAATGACGCCAAGAAGTTGGGGGGCCTTTTGGGCTCCCCGGCATCAGCCAAGGCAGCCTCATCAGCTCCTGGGCTCACTGGTCTCTTGTTCCCTGCCCAGGCACCGCTCCAGAAGGTCCAGTGCTCAGCACTGGGAATGAGGATGACGCAGATGCACAGGAGGCAGTAGAGCTTCCAGAGGCTGCGGCCCCCAGGGCTGCTCTGGAGCCCGAGGAGCCCAAGGAGCCCACGAGCCCGCAGCAGGTGGGACCCCACAAAGGGTGCCTTGCCCTGGGGCTGAGTCACCCTTACATAGGGAGGACCGTGCAGTGGCCTTGGCCCTGGGCCTGCTGGTTTCTGCCCCTTCTCTCTGGTCTTTGTACACCAGGCTCCTGGAGCCCTATCCTGGCCTGGCCATCTTCAGTCAGCCTTTTGACAGCAGCTCTCATGTTCCTCCCCTCTCTGAGCAGCTGTTCCTCAGGGCTGAGGGCTGGGCTGGTGTTGAAAGTCTGGCAGCTCCTCTCCAAGGCTCTGTGGGCCCCCTGTGGTCAGGCTGGCAGGATGGATCTGGAGGGCTGTGGTGCCTCCATCAACTACCAAGGGTCCAGTCTCCAAGTGTAGAGCTAAGAAATCCTCCTTACCTACTAAAACAGAACCAAAGCAACATCTAGGCTGGGGATGTAGCTCAGTAGCAGAGGTCTTGCTTAGCATGTGAGAGACCCTGAGAAAACAGCTGGCTGTATGTCGGAGGAAATGTTAACATCTTTTAATGCTAGATGGATTTTTGTCCTTTTTTTGGTGGTACTAGGGATAGAACCCAGGAGTGCTTTACCACCAAGCTACATTTCCAGCCCCTTGAGACACGTTGTTGCTGAATTGCCCAGGCTGGACAAATTTACAATCCTGCCTCAGCCTCCCTAAATGCTGGGATTACAGGGATGTGTCACTTTGCCCAGCTTTTTATTATATGATTAAGAAGTTTTGCAGCAGCTATTTGTAGGTTCAAAAGTGTTTCTTAGGGCTTTTGGTTTCACTTTCAGTCTTCTGACTGTTTGAACTTCTTGTCCCAAAGGTCCCCACAACGTTCTTGACATGAACCCCAGGGCCAAGCTAATGGGGTATGCAGTGCCTTGGGTGGACAAGGGGCAGGAAAGGGGACATGGTAGCCTGTTTCTTTGCAGAGTGTCACCCCACCCAGGAGGCACATGCTGCGGGAGCGAGAGGTGGCCCCAAAACCTGTGTCCCGGATGAAGGTGAGGGGGGTCAGGACCCAGGTGCCCTGCAGGGGTGTGTGTGCAAGGATGCCACCTGGCAGTCTTCGGTGCCTCAACATCTGAGCTTGAGCATGTGGCCCTTTGCACTCTTCAAGGAAATCTTCCAGAATTTGAAGTCCCCTCTGTGCAGCTCTGGGCTATGTCCCTCGAGTACCACCCTTTATGATCCTGGGTTGAGTGTGGTTGGATTCCGGGGCTGTGATTGGACCTGGTTTCTGGGCTTTGGGAGGGAAGGTGTGCAGCCCCTACTCCCCCTTAGGGTGTGCTTGTGCTGTGCTTAGGAGGCCCCAGACCCCTGGCAGAGCCTGGACCCCTTCAACTCCCTGGACTCTAAGCCCTTCAAGAAAGGTAACTGGGTATGGCTACCTGCACTCAGGTCCCCTGACCAGGTTTGCTGGGGCACAAGATAATGGGATAGGGGTGAGCCCTGCACCCTAATCCATGGCTGCTTTTGAGACGGCCTATCTGCCCCCAGGTAAGCCTTACTCTGTGCCCCCCTGCGTGGAGGAGACACCAGGACAGAAGCGTAAGAGGAAGGGTGCTGCCAAGTTACAGGACTTCCACCAGTGGTACCTGGCTGCCTGTGAGTGGGACACACCCCATCCACCTGGGCTGAGGAAGAGGGTCTCACCCTTATCTGGATGCTGAGAGCAGCCCCTGCCAGTGGGGGTCAGGGCCTTAGCTTGACTCCTGCTAACTGAGTTCCCTCGCAGATGCTGACCATGCCGACAGCAGGAGGACCCGGCGAAAGGGTCCCACCTTTGCAGGTGAGGCCAGGACATGTGGATGTGCTCAGGGAGGAGTCTTTACTCTGCTCTCTTCATCCCACACCCCCTGCCCTGGGGTCACCCAAAGCCCTGGCTAGACTGGTAAAAGCCTGGGCAGGACAGGAGCCCTCATGAGGCTTTGTCCGCAGACATGGAGGTCCTGTACTGGAACCATGTGAGTCAGCAGCTGGAGACCCTCCGGAAGCTGCAGAGGCAGCAGGCAAGTACTCCGCCACCAGAGTCTGGGACTCTGTGGGGCCCTGATGGGAGGCGACAGTGACCTCACAGACCTCTCTATGGACAGACGGCTGAGCAGTGGCTGCCGAGGGCCGAGGAGGGGACGTGGTCTGCCGAGGATGACCACCTGGAGGAGGCCTTGGAGGACCTGGGGGCAGCTGGTGGGTGCCTGCCGGGGGTGGGGCAGGGCTTGGAACCGCCTGCCAGCTGATGGGCCTCTCGTGTCCCAGCAGATGACTTTCTAGAGCCTGAGGATGAGGAGCTTGAGGGAGCAAAGGCGGGGGATGCCAGTGACCTGGGTAGGTCCAGCTGGCCAGGGTGTGCTGGGGGGGCAGAAGCTGTGGGAGGGGAGGTGGGACAGCCCACAGCTGCAGCAGCTCACAGCTGCAGCAGCTCACGGCTGGCCCTTCCCAGATGCAGAGGCCATGCCAGAGTCGCTGAGGTATGAGGAGCTGGTTCGGAGGAATGTGGTAAGTTTGGATGTGGGGGCGGGGAGCTGGGTGAGGGCACCCTGGTTCTCCAGGTCAGGGTGGCAACCCCTGCTGGTCCTGCCCTAGGAGCTCTTCATTGCTACCTCCCAGAAGTTTGTCCAGGAGACAGAGCTGAACCAGCGCATCAGGGACTGGGAGGATACCATCCAGCCTCTGCTACAGGAGCAGGTAAGGGGTGGGTATAACCTGGGAGCTGGAGCTGCCTACCCAGGGCGTGTCCAGGGCTTCTCCCTCCCTACCATCAACGCACCCCTCCCCTGTTCAGGAGCAGCACGAGCCCTTTGACATCCACACCTATGGGGACCAGGTGGTCTCACGGTTTCCCCAGCTCAACGAGTGGTGTCCCTTTGCGGAACTGGTGGCTGGCCAGCCTGCCTTCGAGGTGTGTCGCTCCATGCTGGCCTCGCTGCAGCTGGTGAGTGGCCTAGGTCACACAGGTGGGGAAATCATTGCTGGACCCTGCTGATACCTTGCCCCTGCAGGCCAATGACTACACAGTGGAGATCAGTCAGCAGCCGGGGCTGGAGACCGCCGTGGACACCATGTCCCTGAGATTGCTCACACACCAGCGAGCCCACAAGCGCTTCCAGACCTATATGGCCCCATCGATGGCCCAGCCCTGAATGAGGAGCTGGAACTGCTGTGTAGTAGAGAAGTCTGTCCCAGGACCCTGTGTGCCAAGGGGCTGCTTGCTCCATCACCCCCTCCTGGCTGGCCCCAGAAAATCAAGTGGAGTCACTGTTCTACCTATCCCTTAAAAAAAAACCTTGAAAAATGCCTGCTGGTACAGAGCTTTGCACGCGCGTGCACACACTGCACACACACACCCCTGCAGACTCAGTACACAAGTACTTCCTGTTTAATGACAGGGCCCAGGCTTCCCCGTTCAGGACAGGACACTTTGGAAGGCAGCCATGTGCTGCCTCACACTGTCTGCAATCTGCTCTGCTGACCTTCCCCGACTGTAGTAGTCAGTGAAGAGACCATCAGGATTGAGCAAGTAGATGGCAATGGAGTGGTCAACAATGTAGTCCTGGTCCTCGTCCTTGGGGCCGGCTCTGTAGTATACACGGTAGCTTCGGCTAGCTTGGGCCACCTGCTCAGCAGAACCTGTCAGGCCCAGCAGCCTTGGGTGGAAGTCCTGCACATAACGGGCCATGGCTGCTGTGTCGTCCCGTGCAGGGTCGACGGTGATAAAGATGGGCTGCACGGGGTGCAGGCCAGGCTGGGCTTCTAGCTGTTGTACCACCTGCACCAGCTTCTCGAGCTCATCAGGGCAGATGTCAGGACAGTGGGTAAAGCCAAAGTACATCAGCACCCACTGACCCTGGAAGTCGGCCTTGCAGCGGGCCTGGCCGTGGTGGTCCAGCAAACTGAAGTCGCCCTGGCCTACACTGGCCTGGCGCAGGGCCTCTGTCCGACGTTGTTGCCTCTGCCGTTCCTTCTCAGCCCTGGCAGCCAGCCAGGCCCCACCCAGCCCTACCCCAAAAAGGGCAGTGATCAGGAGCCTGGTTCGAAGCCCAGGGCCTAAGGGCTGGCCCTGCCTAACAGTTTTTGCAGGGCCCCGTCCTGAGAAGTGCTGGGCTCTTTCACACAGGGTTCCATCGTTCAGGGTCCTAGGGAGGTTTGGGGGCTTGAGCAGAGAGAGCCTGGGCCAAGCCTTGGGCCCTCGAGTCAGAAGCAACATGGCCCTGATGCTCCTGGAAGAGAACAAAGGTGTCAAGAACTGGAAGGGAGGGGACAAAAAGGTAACTGGGCCCCCTGGTCTCTGCAGAGACCTGCTGCTCCAAGCTCAGGCTCTGCCAGCTCCCCTAAGCCAGAGTCCGCCTCTGAAGCTGAAAGCTCCAGCTTGGGTGTTGCCAAATTTCTGCACGTCCAAAGCCATACTTGTCACTCCTGTCCTTTTAACACGGGATCCCTAGGCTGGCTAGCCTCACCCTGCCCGATCTGTGCCTGCTACCAAGAGCTGCTTATCTCCCTGACAGGAAGCAATGTACACCTCGCCAGGATCCCGAGCCATGTACATACTTATGATAAACCCGTTTCCTGAACGGCGTTGAGGGACTGGTTTGCAACCCCCAAAAGTAAACCTCTTCCCACCGCATTCCGGTTCTCCGGGGGCTCGCTTCAGCTCACACTACCCCCCCCCCACCAAAGTACTTCTCTTCTGGAAAGGACCCTGGGGTGAGAAGTATTTCTAAGCGCAGCTCCCAGCGGGTACGCGGGACTAGAAACCCGTGCTACACCAACCGCGAGGCCGGCCCGGACCCCCTTCCCAGGCCCAGACGTCAGTACCTAGTGCCGGAACTCGCCGCCACGTTCGCCGCCAGGACGCATGCGCCGAAGGGGCTGAGCCTGCGCAAAGGGCAACCGCGGAGATCACGTGCCCAACCCCGCCCTCAAAGCTACCAGCCTACCGAGCTGCTCGGCTTTAGGACTGTGAGACGGGCGGCGGCAGGACCAGCTGGGTGAAGGGCGATGGGGCTTCGAAGGGCGCGCGTTCGGACAGCACGAGGGCCTCTTGCAGGGCGTGGCGCTGCGGGGTGCTAAGCGCCGGGCGGTCCAGGTGTACGCGGAGCCAGGGCGTCCCTGCGGGGGGCGTCAGGGCGCGCGGTCAGGGCGCCGCGCCGGGCGGGGGCGTCGACACCGCGAGGTCCTAGGCAGGGCTTACCGCGGCGCAGCCTCTGGCCCACGTCGACCAGCAGCTCGGCCCCTACCCCCAGCCGGATCGTCTCTCCGGCGCGGCTGCGTCCAGCCCCGAGCTCACGCAGCACAAGAGCGAGCGGTAGCGCCTGGATGCGCTCCACGGTGCCTGCAGGGAGCGAGCGGGAAGTGGGGGCTTGGCCAACGACGCGGAAGGGCCTGAGAGGGCGGGGCCAGCCGGGTTTGGGGAGGGGGCTGCCGTCCTGCCCTCACCGTCCTCTAGCGCACAGAGCTCCTCCTGCTCGCGCGCGCGGGGCAGCAGCTGGCGTCGCTGGGCGGGGGTCCCGGAGCACAGCGCTCTGGCCAGGCCTGGGTCCACCCCCTGCGCCGCGAGCATTCTCTCGAAGCGGCCCCTTGCAGAGCCGTCGTCCAGCGCCGTGGTCACCCGCACGGCGCCCTGCGCGTGGGTCCCCACCTGTCCGCTCAGCCAGAGCAGGGCGCCACCTACCGGCGGTCGCGGCGGGTTTAGCTGGGGTGTCCTGTGCGGCGCCCTGTAGCCCGGGCCCCGCCCTCTCCACCAAGCTCACCGAGCTGAGAGACCAGGTCTCGCAGGTCCCTTGGCCCTGCACCGTCCAGGCAAAGCAGCGCTTCCTCCACCTCCAGGGCGTGGCCCACGCTGCGGCCCAGAGGATTGTCCATAGCGGTTAGGGCGGCCGCCACCCTCATCCCCAGGCCTGCCCCTACGTCAACCTGTGGAGGGAGGCTCCGTATGGACGTCTCTTGGGCCTCCTGTAGCCCATCATACTCCAGCCCTGCCGCACCCTGGGTCCCAGTCCAGCCAGGAGGAGGTCGGGGAAGGTTTGGCTAGGGACCTATCAGCATTGTGCCAGGTGGGGCTGGGAGGGGGAGCACCAGGAGGGCCTTTTCCCAGGATTGGGTTGCAGGGGCACCCCCTGGAGGGTGTATCAAGGCTCAAGCCAGGCCAGCCTTGACTAGGCAACAGTGGTGGGTAGTGGGCCGTGGAGGAGAGTCTGCTGAGTGGGCAAAGACAGAGAGGTGCAAGGGAAGTCAGGCCCAGCAGGGAGGGGCAGGGCTCACCAGTGCCCTTGCCAGCTCCCGGGCCTGTTCCTGGTCAGGGAAGACTGCGGCCCCACCATACTTAACATCCACCACCAGAGCGGATAGACCCTCCACGATCTTCTTACTGAGGATGGAGGCTGTGGAGGAGGTGAGAGGTCAGGCAGGGGATGCTCGCTCTGGGGTCAGAGAGGAGGGGCTGGCCTCCTCGATGGGGGTAGCCATGCCTAGCGGGTTGTGTATTCTGTGTATTCGGCAGCCCACCTCCAGGAATTGGTGGTCAGGCGTCTTGTGATAAGGGGATACTGGCATTGGGGTCAGATCACCCGTGATAGGAGGCGGTCCTACAGTCTAGTCACCCATAGTGAGAGGGCCCTGACCGTGAGGTTGGAAATCGGGTCTGTTACATGCAGAAGGGAGTCCTTGGAGTCAGGTCAGGTCACCTGTGATGAGTGGCAGGCTGTCCACGGTGGCTGTCACATCTCGAGCTGCATACAGGAGTCCATCCGCAGGGACCAGCTCCTTACTCTGACCCACGATACAGCAGCCCACTCGCTCCAGCAGCATTTGCATCTAGTCAGACCCCCCACCGCAGGTGAAAGCTTATGAAAGACCCTATTACTGGCCTTCATCAGTGACTTGGGAAAGGCTCAGAACTGTGACCAGTGCGTATCAGTGACCTAGAGATGATTCTGCTAAGTTCTCAGAAATAACTCTGCTGACCCGGCAAGGTTCCTGATAAGTATATGGCCCTTTAATGATTAGCAAGTCCCCAGGAACGATCTTGGTTAAAGTTCTCTTGACCCTGACTCAAGGTCAATGACTGTCAATCTTTCAATAATCAGTATTCTCACTAGAGACCCCCATAAAGTGCTTATCAGTGATCCTTCAGTAATTACAGCCCATGTCTGTCAACCCACATCAAAGACCAGTCCGTGGCCTGACTGTACCTTTTCTGGGCTCTGGATGACACTGAATCCAGGAATGGACTCCAACTTATCCAGGGTGCCACCTGTGTGCCCCAGGCCACGTCCACTGATCATTGGCACCTGGTCGGCAGGAATACAAAGTGGGTTCCCAGCTAGTGAAGAGGGAATGGAGAATAAATTGTCCTGGCTGGGGTGTGTGTGTGTCATTGTATCAGTGGGGTAGGAGTTGGACCCATCCCTGGAGACAGAAGTCTGAGGGACAGAGGAATACTCAGCTCTTCCCTTAGCGTCCTCTCTAGGGTACAGAGAGGACTAAGGAGATTTCTGTGTATCTTGGTCTTATTCCAGGAGGCCTAGTGTGGGCTTGAGGAGGACCCAAGTTCTGTTCTGGGGTTGGGTGGGACAAGTGGGATCTGTCTGGGCCAGGCTTGAGGTCGGGAGCTGCCTGTGGGTTGCCTGGTTGCTGACTCTTGGGGTCAGAGGTTCTGGAGAGGAGGTGGTCTCTAACCTTGCAGCCACATGCAGCCAGGGCAGGTGCCAGGACCAGGCTGACCTTGTCACCCACGCCCCCTGTGGAATGTTTGTCCACCAGCTGCTGGTGCCAGGCCTCTGGCCACTCCAGTTGCTGCCCAGACTTGGCCAGGGCCTGAGTCAATGCAAAGGTCTCCTCCAGATCCATGCCCCGAAGCCGGATGGCCATCAGCATGGCCCCTAGGTGCGGACACATGAAGGGGGTATGCCCATGGCATGGGCATCCTGGAGCTGGTGGCGGGGCACAGTGGCATCCCTGGGGGTGGACGTTCCGTGGGGCAGTTGGTGCCAGGGTCCAGGTTGGGGTTCCGGGTGCCCAGCCCTCCCCACATACCGATCTGTGTATCCTGTGCGCTGCCTTCCACCACCGCATGCACGAAGTGCCTGATATCCTCCTCACTCAGACGCTCTCCGTCTCGTTTCCTGCGAATCAGCTCCGGGAGCTGCTTGGGCTCTGGAGCAGGGTCTGGAGGTCCCCGTCCCCCTACCCCGAAGAGGCCACCTAGCGCAGGGGTAGGTGGGGGCCAGGCTCCCCGGGCCGCCATTGCTCCGGGCCTGCGGGAAAGGAGACACCCTGGAACCTGACCCCGTGTCCGTGTCTTTGCGGCTACGTTCATTTGTCCCGACCCTGCTCCGGTGTCTCTGATGTCCACCCTTCTGACCCGTGACTGGCTTCCACTTCTCAGCCTCATAGCTTGATCCCGCCTGTACCTATTCACCACGGCAGCCCTCGCCCGTCTGGCTCGAGTTTCCTTTCCAGTTTGCCCCGAGTCGCCAGCCGCCAGGAGCCAAGACGCAGGTGCTGAGCACACCTTGGCCACTGGCCGCCAGAAGGTCAGATCTGGGAGAGTCCTAGCGGCTGGGGGCAGAGCTCGCACGCACTTGGCCAATCCCGAGTTGCCTGGCGAGCGCAGGACTGCCGGGCGGGAGCGCTGGGCCTGCGGGCTCCCCTGTGGTCTAGGGCCTCCGCGTCTGCCGGCCCGGGCACCCTTCCCCCCGCTCTGGCGAAACGGCGCAGAGAGAAAGAGGCGGACACGCGGCTGGCTTGGAAACTTTAAGCAAAGGGCTACGGGCAGTGGCCTGCCCTCCCGCCCTCCGGGTCACTTGTCCGCTTCGGTCACCATCCGGGCCAGGTACTCCGAGTGCCGGATCCCGAAGCTCCAGCCGCCAGGCTTCCGATGCTGCGGACCCGGGAGATGCCGCTGACCTCCCGGAGCTTGCGGTTCCTGAAGCCCCGGCCCTCGTGGGCCTCAAGCCACGCCCCCCACCCGGCACCCCCGGCCTTGGGCTCCAGACCACCTGGTTCACGTTGTATGCTGCGGGTCCCGGCTTGAGCGTGTTGTCCCGGGGGGGCGAAGTCCGCCCCAGCATCGTGAACTGGGGGGCGCGGGTCTTATAGACCCCAGGGTTCACCACGTGGTAGGCACAGGGCCCCGGGCTCTGGGGAGGGCGGAGGTTGTGGGTCCCGCTAGGTCCCCCAGCCCTGGCCCAGGGCCCGCCCCACGTCTGAGGCCCCGAACCTTGCTGAGGTCCTCGAAGCAGCTGCCCACCGCGCTGCGGCCGTAGATGGAGTAGGTGGGCGCCGAGACCTTGCCGATCACGCCCGGGCCCAGAAGCGAGGGCACCGTGTAAGCCCCGGGGCCTGGGAGGAGCCCCAGGGTCGGCTCGGTCGGGCCGGTGGGCCGGGGGATGGCTAGGGGCTGGGATGTGAGGATGGGGCTTTTCCAGCCTCACCTGGGGTCTGCTGCCAGGCTCCGACGCCCCAGTTCCGGGGTGCGATTGTGTGGCGAGGCGCGCTGGGGTACGTGGCGTTCCCCGCGCGTTCCGGGAAGTACCTGCCTGCGGGGCGCACCAGGGATGTGGACCGGGCATGGGTCTTGAGACGGGAACGGGGGTTGGGCCAACCCTGGCAAAGCCTGCAGGGGTTGGACTTTCTGAACTGTGAGGTCCGGATGTGGGGTGCTGGGATACCAAGGGGGCGTCTCCAGGTACCCTCCCCGGGGAAGTCCGGGCCCGGGCCCCAGGGGTCCTGACCGGGTCCAGGAGTGCGGAAGGGCGCCGAGTGTCGCAGGCGGCCCTGGATGGAGTAGGCGGGGGCGCTGTCAGGGCCTCGCACGGTCAAGCGGGGCGGCACTAGGTGGCCTGGGCCGGGCCCGCACGTCGTCTGCCGCTCGGGGAGGCGCATTCCGAAGGTGAAGGCCGGGGCGCGCGGCCGCGAGGGGTCGTGTAGGAGGTAGCCTGGGAGGGGCGCCCAGGGTGAGCCTGGTCCCTTCTCTCCCTGACCCGCCGCTGTCCCCTTCCCCGGGCTGTTTCCAGGGCCCCGCGCCGCCCCTACCGGTGTTGGGCGGCAGCTTGTACTTGGGCCCCGGGCCGTTGTACAGCGCTGCTATGGGGCCGCGGGGAAGGTGAGGCCGCCAAGCCCCGACCCAGACGTCTGAGCCCATGGCGTGGGACCGCACCTGGGGACGGGAGGTGGCACCGGCTCGGGATCCGCTCGCCCGGTGGGGCCGCCGCGTATCCCGGGCGCCGGGAAAACAAACCCAGGACAATGGGGCTCCTAGCACAGCGGGACCCGGGCCAGGGCCTGAGCTCCGTGGCCTTTCCCGGTCTCCGAACGGCACGGAGCGTAGACCCAAGTCCCAGACTTGGGGAAGGGAATTCCGCGGGTTCGAGCTGGGGACAGAGGTGGGCTTTTTTTGTTTTCTGTTTTTGGCACCGGGGATCGAACTCAGGTCTTTGCGCTTGCGCAGCAGGCGGCGAAACCACTGAGCTACATCCCCGGTCCCTGGGGGCAGAGGTTTTGGGACTCTGGGAAAGGATGTGGGGCACGACCTAATGAGGCACCCGGGGTACACTGACCTGGTGGCTTGGAGGACAAAGCAGGGTAGCTGGACACCTCACCCTACCCCCTCCCAAGCCCCATTGTGTCCCCAGCTGCTTCCAGGCAACCAGACTGTCACACACCCGCTCGCCCCGCCTCTGCTGGGTCTCGTCACAGGGAGGGACAGGTCAGAAGGGGGCTCACCCTGCCGCCATGCTTGGTGCACCCATTCCAGATTTAGACAAATCTGCAGACGAAAACCAGTGTGGGAATAAAGGAATGATCATGGAATATTTGTCCAAAAAAAAAAAAAAAGTCAGATCAGAAGATAATCATGCAAATTGAATAAAGGGATGTGGTAGGACACAGGACTTAATCATAATCCAAAACAATTGTAAGCAAACAATAAAATGTGAAAGAAAAGAAAGAAAAATACTTAACAAGTCTTGTTAAAAACTTCTGGATCAAAAGAAACTCCAACTGGGCATAGTGGCACATACCTATTGTCAACTCAGTTGATTATAAATTTCAAATATATATGAAATTTGAATTAATACTTTATTTTTATTTTTAAATTATCTTTTTTTTTCTTTGAGACAGAGTCTCACTGTGTGTTGTAGTTCAGACTGGCCTTGAACTCCTGGTGATCCTCCTGCCTCAGCCTCCCTGCCGGGTTACGGGTGTGCACCACCACGCCCAGCCAAAGTAAGACCTCTAAACAATTGTGTCAGCAAACTCATTTCCAGGCTGCTGACCTGCAAATCCAGAGGAGCAGATGGGAAGTCAGGACTCTATGTAAACTCATTGTTCTGGTGATTGCTGATTTCTAGTTTTAATTTATGCCCTATTGTTTACAAAGTAAAAGAAAGCAACATGCCTCAAAGGTGACCCCACACCATCAAGACATCCAAGACTGATAACATCTTTCCTTTGTGGGATAATTTGAGTTTTTAAATATTTATATAAGGGTTCATTCACTATTACACTTACCTCACTCATAAACTCTGCCATTTCTCATGCCTTCTACAATAAGCAGTCATCTTATTTGCATATATTGTCATTGTTTAGTCTTTTTTTGGGGGGGCAAATTACTTTATTGGGAGCCTTAGAGGTGGGGAAAAGGCACTGAAAGTACATTTAAGATGCTGAGACCCGATGTCCTTGGCAGAGCTGGATCTCCCCCGCTCCAACATCACCAAAAAGCTCTGTTTAGTCTTAATACAATGTCATCGCTTTTTTTTTTTTTTTTTGGTACCAGGGATCGAACTCAGGACCTTGTGCTTGCCAGGCAGGTGTGGTGCCACTGAGCTACACCCCTGGCACTTAGATTTATGTCTTATAAACTGGAACTGGCAATATGTATCAAAAATGTCTTCGGTAGCCAGATGGCAGTCACATTTCTTTCCGGCCCAACACAGTCTCCACAGATGCGGTCGGCATTCCATGCCTGGGGATTCAGCCAGCAGCACACTTGTGCTAACAACATGCCCTCCTTAGGCCCTAAAACCTGACGTCTGTGCTTGGTCCTGTGTCTCCGAAACAGCAGGCATGCAGGGAAGGTAACCCTGGCGGCCACGGCCACTGTCATTTCTGCCTTCCCATTGCACATAGGAGCACTTAACCCAACAATCTCTCCAATACTCAGCTGCAAGGGAATCTACAAAATACAAGGGTTGGGTCAGGGATTTAGCTCAGTGGCTTTGCCGCCTGCTGTGCAGGCACAAGGACCCAAGTTCAAACCCTGGTACCAAAAAATATATATATATATGTATATACAAGGGTTGCTTTTCAGTTCTAAAATACAGGAAAATAAGTAGACTAGAAGCTGAATGCTACTGACCACATCTGGGACAGGTGGAATGTTGAGTCCTGATGTGAGCATTTCAGACTTGAGATGTCTGTGCCACACACACGAGGGCTGAAGAGGTCTAGATTGGAGATAGCAGTGGGAGACATCAGTACACTACGGGAATGGTTGGGGTCACTGTGTCAGGCCTCTCACTCGTAGGCCCTGTTTCATTGGGACACAGCCATATGCATCTGTTCACTGTTCTGTGGCTGGTTTCATGATGCAATGCAGAATTGAGGGACCTGAAGAGGCAAAATAGTCATAGTCAGCCCCTTTGCTGAAACACTTTGTTGCCTCCAATTTAGAGAGTAAGTGTGGATTTCAAAAAAGTTAAGAGCACAGAGCTCCAGGGCACATGGCAGCCTTAGGTTGGGGTTTGTCAGAACTGAGCACTGTGATACTGTAACCCATAAGCTGGTAGCCGCAGTGCTGTGCACCTGGGCCGTTGCTGGCAGGTGCTGGGACTTTGGGTGAGTGCAGCTTCTCAGGCTCCTACAACCTCACGGGTGCATCCATGAGATATTTTAACATCCTACTGAGTTGCAGGATCTTCTCAGCTAGGTTACTGTGAAATGCCGGAATAATTACCTTGCAAAGTTGGGGAAGAAAAAAAAGGTCCTGGGCCGGGGATTTAGCTCAGCAGCACAGTGCCTGCCTGGCAAATGTGAGATCCTGAGTTCTACCCCCGGTCCCAAAAAGGAAAAGAAAAGGGTCCATTTGTAAAGAAGCTCATTTAGGTCTACATCCAAATTCCCAGTGCAATTTCTCTATTTGTATGTTGCAGCAGGAGGACACACCTGTAATCCCAGCACTCTGGGAGGCTGAGGCAGGAGGATCGAAAGTTCAAGCCTAGGCTGGGCAATTTAGTGACTTAGACCTTGTCTCAAAATAAAAAATGGAAGAAACAGGACTGATGGTGTAATGATGTAGTATGAAGGTCCTAGGTCCAGTCTGTTCCTGAGTCACCAGGACAGTTGCACTGCTGCCTCTGTACACTGTTTCAGGGTCGAGGGCTGGCTCTTGCCTAGCACGCACAAGGGCCCAGCCTCCTCCCACAGGGAGAGGAAGAAAAGCAACACTGTCTCCCAGAGAATACAAATCTTTCAAGTTGTGTCCTTGAGTGTTATTCTCTCCAGCTGATATGTTCAAAGGATCACATGTTAATCATAAAACTCTGGAAGGGGGTGACTGCCTTAATTTTTTGGGGGGGGGTATGGGGGATCAAACTCAGGTCCTTGTGCTTGTGCAGCAGGCAGTGAAACCACTGAGCTAAATCCCCAGGCCCCTTAATTTTTAATCTTTTCATAGTTAGAGAAAAATATTTAGTTACCTGTAGCTTTTTTTTTTTTTTTTTTGGTGCCAGGGATTGAACTCAGGACCTTGCGCTTGTGAGGCAGGTGGCAGCACCACTGAGCTAAATCCTGCCCCTTCTGTAGCTTTGAAGAACAAAGTCATGTTCTGCAAAAGTCATGTGTTCTTTGCTTTCTGTTTATTTTTGGCTTTGAGCACTTTTTTTTTGGTAGTTAAAAAAAGTCTTTGCTAATGTATCAGACCCTCTGAAACCCATAAAGATCCTTCTGGCCAGATTCCCCTTTGGGGCCAGTTGTCACCTCCTGTGGTGACTGCTGTGCCTTGACCAGCCAGCTGCCCAAACCCTTACCTTGGTCCAGCACAGAAGTGTGGGAAATGCTTGTGACCAGATGGATTCTCCTCTCTTCTTTCCCTGTGTTGAGAAATGACGACTTTATTTGACGTCTTGGGGGCCCTGTCCACAGAAGAAGTAGTTTTTGGTACCGAGGATCGAACTCAAGACTTTGCGCTTGCGAGGCCAGGCGGCAGAACCACTGAGCTACATCCCCGGCCCCACACAGAAGAAGTAGTAAGTGTGCCAAGATCTGTATCCCGGGGCTGGTCCTCTTCTCTTCCTTGTCCTTGGTGATTCTCCCTAATGCCACAGTATGAGGATCCCTGCCTGACCATTGCTTTTTAGGAACCCAGGCTTAATCAACCTGTTTTCAATCACTATTTGAGCACTTATAGCTATGGGAATGATTTTTTTCTGGATTTGGTGTTAGTTGCATCTGGTTCTTATTGTCATTTATTGAGAAACAGTTTGGTTATTAAAAATAAGAGACTGTGAACATTTGTGTCCAGGTTTTTGTGTGGATGTCAGCCCCCACTTCTCTTTTAAGTCCCCAGGAGTGCTGCTATGGGCCGTGTGTAAGTGCATGCTTATGCTTTAAAGAAACTGCCACACTACTTTCCAGAATGGTTGCACCACTTTATAGTCTCACTGTGTGACCTGCTCCACGTAGCTGACTCATCCACACTGCATAACCATGATCAGTTCGTTTTCAGTTTTCAGCAGAACATACCAGTTAATGCAGGAGACACACAGAAATGTCACAAATGAGTTTCAGGTGTACCTTGAGTGTATGTCTTTCACAGACATTTCAATCCAGTTTCTAGATACATTTTACGACAGTTGAGATGGCATTTGAACTCTTAGGGTCTCCCTCCCTGGATTTGATCCCTTCTTTGGAGGGCATGATACACAGCACCACCACCAGAGGGCGCCGCAACCCTGCCCCCATCGTCTAGGGGATCAGGATTTGTTTACCAACTCTGAAATTCTTTGTTATATTTGTCAAAGAAAAGATTTTGGTTTTCTTTTTCGTTTACCCTGTTCTTATTTTCCAGCATTTAAAAACAAAATATGAGACGTGTGATTTCTTTTTTTCCGGTGCCGGGGATCAAAATCAGGACCTTGTACTTACTGAGCTAAATCCCCAGCCAGAGATGTCTGGTTTTTAATTTAGTCAACCTTATCAACCAGTATTCTTGGAAGAGCCTCCCCTTAGAGAAGCCCCACCACCCTTATTTTATGTGTCAGAATACAGCATAACAGATTATCAATGATTTCTTTTTTTGTTTTGTTTTTTGGTACTAGGGATCCAACTCGGGTCCTTGCGCTTGCGGGGCAGGTGACGGAACCACTGAGCTACATCCGCGGCCCCTATCCATGATTTCTTCTCCATTCATTTGGTATTGAATTGGCTGTTGATGTGGTAGAATAGCCAGGTGATCCCTGGTGGAGCTCTGGGACTGCAGACTGGTACATACTCTTGCAGCCTTCGGTGGCTTAGCTGAGAACAGGCCGCCTGCTGGGGCCAGGCTGTGGGTGGATGGTAAGGCCTTGGCTGCTGCAGCTTCTGCTGAGGTCCCTCCCGAAGGCTCAGTGTGTGCTGTCCCAGGGCTTTCCTGGGCCTGGGAACTGGTCCATTTCTCCATTAGAGAAATGAGGTGTGAAAGGCTTAACCTTAACCCTAACCCGAAGCCTAACCTAAGGTTGTTCAACACGGTGCGGGTTCTGGTCAGCCTCACTGACCAGAGTTTACCTGGCCTGGTGCCTTCAGGATATCCATGCCCTGCCTGTGTCAGAGGATAAGGACAGTGGTCATATTCATCATTCTGATCATTTTCAGGTATAAAATTCAGACGAGATCCGGTGCTTTGAGGAGTAGGGGTGCGTGCCGAAAAGCATAAAATTCAGTGACAGTAATTCACAGTGCTGTGCATCTATCACTGACTCTCTCTCCCCAAAACTTTTTGATCATCTCCA